GTATCATTGAAAACGAACGCTTACTTTGCCTGTTTGCCGACGCTTACCGGAAATGTTCAGATGCAGCAGAAAGAAAAGCAACTCACTGAAAACAAAAGGATACACTGGGAAAGAGAAACTAAGAAAGCCCTACCTCAAAATACGGTGCACCGAAGCGCATAGGCCTGAGCTGCAAACCGTGACAGCAGACGAGTTAAAAGAAGCGGATCAGATTGATTGCAGCACGCACGCGTTGACTGCGAAGCCGCAGAACGACGTCTTTGTATCGCCTTCCTGAAGAGTGTAGAAGCCCGAGCGAGCTGAAACGTGCGTTTGCTGCCGGTCTTGTGAGTCGTTATACCCCGTTCACTGCTGGTGAACCGGCAAATTCTGTTCATTCCTTTATCGGTAACTCATTTTTCTCTTCCCACTGCCAAGCCTCGGACCTCGAGGAGCAGCACTTCTGCGCATTCCCACCCCTCTGCCAGGATTTGTCGCAGTAGGGAAAGCCTTGGGCTTGGACTTTTCTCCTCGTGCAATTAGTATCCCACGCGTACCTCAATAATCAGCGAGAACGCGTCTGCAAGATGTGGAACCTCGTCGACGTACACGATCAGAACCGTAACACCGTCACCATAGTATAGTTCATGCGTTGGAGCCTAGAGCTTGCTCACGGGAAAGCCTCTGCCGATGTACCCAAAAAACAAGCCGTTCAAGCGGCATTGTGGGGGGGACAATGGTCCTGTGCTCCGTCAGAAGCGCGATGCCTGTACCACGCAGTATGCCATGCCTCCGTATCTCGGTCGGGATGCGCCCGACTGCTTGGGGCTCATTGTGCGCCGAATGCGGTGCCGCAAAGTGCGTCATTCCGCCTGTCGCTGGCTATCCCGTTTGGACCACGAGCGCCCTAGCTGTCATCCATCGTTGCAGCGCCACCTCCGTAGTGACGTCTTTCCACGACGAGACAGCTGTCCCACCCTGTGCGCGCCGTGTCACTCTATACCAAAAAGTCGTAGGTGCCGTTTTCTAGCGGAGTCACCACTCGAGGCGCCACATCTCACCACTGGCTTCGTCGTAATTTGGCTCAAACCCCCAAAAAATAATAGGTGGTGTTGTGTCCATCGAACGCGTAGCCGGAGTCTGTGGAACTGTCTTCGTTGTTCGTCTGATCAAAACACACAAAGAAAAGGCGAAGATGAGCACAGCTGCGAGTTTCGATACAAAAGAAACGCCCCTCTCTATTCTCATCGCACTTCGTGAGGGGAGGGGAGGGGCAGAGTCGACAGCCCACGCATCCTGCGACAAGTGAATACCATCTGGTGCGTTATTTCTTAATCCTCCTCGGCGCCATCAGTGTTTCCTTTTCCACTCAAAGATGCAATTAACGAAGCAAAAAGTGGGCTGCTTTCAACGTCTAACGTTAGAAGATTTTAATACGATGCATTCAAACCGCCATGTTGCCGCCTCTTCCATTGTAAAGATCAAAGAAGAAAAAGTTGTCCAGCTGAGGTACTCCTGTCTTTCTCGAGCTAAAGGAGAAGCAATGAAGTGGCGGAGACGGCTGCGCTAAGTAGTCTCACTCAACGAGAGAAAACACACAAAAGAAAAGAAATGTTTTTAGTTCCTACCTTTGAAGCACCGTTGCGCTAAACAGCAGTCGGATATACCCGTACAACTGCAATCCGGAGCCTTTTAGGAGACAAACAAGTAAGTAATTACACGGAGGAACGAAATCCTAGACAGATTCTAAACAAAACAAAAATCAAGAATAATCTGCTGCTAGCAGGGGAACAACGAGTCAGCCCTACTTCTCCTGGGACGCCAACGGCTCCCCGCTCCTCTCAGGAGCAAGTAAGAAATCCACTACTGCTTACTCACAAAGGCGGGGTCTGTGTAGAGCTTAACAAGGTCCATCGTGAAACGAGTGCTTTGATCCATATCGGCAATCGACACGTATTCGTTTGGCAGATGCGCCATCTCAAACGGCCCAGGCCCAACAATGACGGTGGGAACGCCGAGGACGTTTTGGAAGTAGCCGGCCTCCGTGCCGCCGCCAATCTTGCGCACCTCGTGATCCTTGCAGAGGTGCCGCGACTGCTTCACCACCGGATCGGCCTCATCGGCGTTAAAAGCGGGGTAGCACGCGCCGGGGGTCACCTCCACCGAGGCCTCCGGGTACTCCTCCTTCATGGAGGGCAGGATCACCCGCTGGATGTACTGCCCCACACGCTGCTCAATGTCGTTGGCTGTCTCGCCATCTGTGACGCGCACGCTGTACACGAACTCGCACTCCGCCGGCACCGTGTTCACCGCGTTGCCGCCCTTGATGACGCCGGTGGAGATGCACGCAAAGGGACATTGGTAGGTTTTGTCCTGCACACCGTTCTTCTTGATCTCCAGCGCAATCTCGCGGATCTTCGTGATGATCTGCGCGGCGTACTCGATGGCGTTGCAGCTCGTGTTCATCAGCGCCATGGAGGAGTGGATCGCCTTGCCGCGCACACTCACGTACCACCGGCTGATACCTTTGTTGCCGGTGTAGACGCGCATGCTGGTCGGCTCACCGATGAGGCAGCCATCCGCCTTGAAGCCCTTGTCCTTCAAGTACGCCGTGAGAATGCGTGCGCCAATGCAGCCCACCTCCTCGTCGAACGAGAAGGCGTAGTGGATCGGCTTCGCGCGTTTCATCTGCAAAAATGCAGGTGTGAGGGACATCACCACCGCAATGAACGACTTCATGTCGCACGCACCACGGCCAAACAGCTTGCCGTCCTTCTCCACCATCACAAAGGGGTCCGAGTCCCACTTCTGGCCGTCCACCGGCACCACGTCCGTGTGGCCAGACAAAATGATGCCGCCCTGCGTCGCGCCGTTGTCTGCGGGGAATGTGGCAAAGAGATTCGCCTTGGTCTTCTCCGGGTTGTACACCAGCGTGGACTCCACGCCCACGGACTTCAGATACGCCTCAATGTAGCGGATCAGCTCCAGGTTGGAATTGCGGCTGGTGGTGTCGAAGCTGATGAGCTTGCCCAGCCACTCCTTGTGTGAAGACGGGTAAGTCGACATGGCAAATACCTTCGAAGTGAATACAAGGAGAAGCAAATGAAGGCAAAGAACAGTACTTCTTGCAGTTGTGAGAAGCGTGACGCAAAGCCGCTTAAATGATTTCTTTCCCTTTCACCTAAGAATGACGAGATTCTGAAAACAGGAAGAGGACGCCGACTTTGACGCGGATACCGTGAAGCACCCGAAAAGAGAAGGGAAAAGCTCAGTGGGAAAAGAAGTCGTTCTCTGACCACGCCCGGCGGCATCGCTACCATCATCGCCGCCTTCTGTTGCACAACAGTGGCGCTGCAACAACAGCGGAAGTGCACAGCAACACTCCTTGCACACGTAGCAGAAGCTGAAAATGACGTTCAACGCCTTAAAAGACTCAGGACTACGACGTGGAAGAAACGGGCGAGACCCTGGAAGCTGAAATTGTCGAATACTGCTTGGACATTTCTAAAGGTCACTTCTCATGGTCCCAACAACAATTTGTTGTGGCATTCGTATTTCTCCTCTTCTCAGGAAAGCGCAGCCGGAAAAAAAAAGAGGAGGGGAACAGCACAGAGGTAACTCGCAGGCGAAACAGCAGTGGAGCCTTGAAACCGCCTACAAGCCGGTCAACAGTACTTACGACACAGGATAGATATTTCATCTCGGAAGGCGGTGCTCGTAATCTTCTTCGTGGTAGAGCAGAAGGAATTCATGAAGTAGCGCACGCAGAGTTGATAGGCCTCTGCGAAAAACGTCGCTATGGACTCCTTGGGCTCGCAGTCCTGCATGAGCAACAGACGCGCAGGCGCGAGTCCCACGTAGGCGGAGATGCAGTAGGCGTCACCGTAAGGGCGATCGACTTTGCTCATGTAAAAGTCGCTCCTGGCCCACATACTTTCGTCAACTACATCTAAAGCCGAATAAAGAGAGAATTGGTGGGTCAGCGCAATCTCGCTGTTGTTGCTGCTGCCGGCACTATACGAAAACAAGCAGGCGTCGTTGGGGCCGACGATGATAAACTGCGTGAACGTCATTGCAACGTAGAAGAGAAGGTCCGTGAGCAGGACCCACCGCAACTGAGAAGAGGCTGCTGTTATTATTTGTCAGAGCATACAGTTAGGAAGGAGACGAGGGTGGTGAAGTAAAGATGCGGTGAAAACGGAAAAAAGACTGGATGGGTAAATCCACTTTCCGTCAACTCCTTTTCGCACCGTCCTCACACGTATCCGTTACACTGGACAGCTGGATTCCTCCGCGGTTCACAGTCATAGAGGGAGGCACAGAGGGAACACGGAAGCTGACGAGCAGCAGTCATGCGTATCACCGCCGCCTCACATTAAACACTGCAATGAACACGTTTCGCTGCGGTCCCAGGAACGGCCCACGACGCCAAAGATTCAATGGGAGTTCACTGGAGAAAAGATGTTGATTTGGGCCCTCATCGGGCGTTTCCTTTTCCGTCATCGGGGCACAAAACTCACTGACCAGCGACCGGCAAGGGAAGAAAAACCGGCGATCCTACACGATGACGGCAAGGGAAGTTTCTCCCCCTCAACTGCAGTTGAGAATGCGGACTTCGCCAACAAACCGGTTACGCGCAGGTGTTGCACAGAAAGCACATTGGTAGAGAAACCCGACTCGAAAAGAGCGTCAGCGGACCTTTTCCTTCTCCATCTTACGACCTTCTTTTCCCGCCGTACTGTACGCTGGGTCCACGCACAAGGTCCGAAAGAGGCAGCGGACGTGCAGGCACCCACATGGCTCCCGTGCCGCCGCGCACCACCTCCTGCGCCGCACGATCTCTCGTGTCTTTGACCTGATCGTGCTCAAACGCTACTTGGCGACGGAAGTCAGCGAGCTCCATTTGCATCCGATTTAGGTCATTCTCGTAGTCGAGCAGGAAGCGGCCCAACGCGTCCAGCTCGAAACCTTTGTAGCGTCGCCGAGGAGTGCTCTCACGCTGGAGTTCACTCAAGGCGACGTCTGCCGGCCGTGCAATCTCGGGTTGCACCAGCGCAGTGTTGTCCTCCTCGTCGGACGAGTCGGAGGCCTCTGGTGTGCAGACGATAGAGCTGTGCTTGAGAAACTGCTTGTGTTCCGCACGCTCGATAGCGTCGTGTGTGACGGCGTAGTCGTCGAGGATGTCGTTTCGCCGTTTCTCTTCCTCTTCCAGAACATCCTGCAGCACTGGGCCGAGAGGGCTGCCGTGCAGTGGGGCAGGCACAGTTGTGATCAATCGCTCCACGAGACCCTGCCGAGCGAGATACTCCTCACCAACAATTTCGCGGCGCTGGGTGAACTCGCCAGCCAATAAGTGAATGACGCCTTGCTTGTAAAGGTCCCGGCAACGGTTAAGCAGTCGCCGCTGCAACTTCTTCCGCAGCAAATAACCTCGACCGATTCGTTGAAGCCGCGCGGAGGCTTCATCTGTGCTGAGCGCAGAAGAAGCCGGCCCCCTCGGCCTCGCATCCGTTTGACTGCTCTCGAATGGGGCGACGAGGAAGCAGAACACAGCATCGTGCCGCTCGTCCAGCAAGGCTCTGTCACCCTTCTCGTCCAGCTCGGCACCCCTCCTCGACAGAGCTTCGTCTTGGACAATCGAAGCCCACCGCTTCCCAAACATCGACATCGTTTTAAGATCCAATTTTCGGTCTACCGATAACGCCGTACGCGACTGTTGCTCGCTGCAGCACAGAAGTCGTCGGTTCTTCTCCTCATCGGCGGCACATTTCGCCAGAAGAGACTCCGCACGCAGGCGGGCCGCCTCCACAGCTTCAGCGCGCGACTTCGACTGCGCGGCACTGAAGACTCGGGCAACAGCTAGTTCCTCCGCTTCAATATCGTGGCGTGCGGCGCTCTCCTCCGCCTCCGCACAAGCAAGCGCAGCAGCGGCGCGGACACGGCGCTCCTCTCCCGCGACGGCGGCACGACCGGACACCTCCTCGGCGACGCAGTCCGCCATCGCGCGCTGCAGACGGGACTGCAGTCCGCGCACGGCCACCGCACGGTGCAGCA